TCGTGATGGAGCATCTCCAATGATTTCTTTAATTTTCTCCCTTAAAATGAGAGAATATTAAAATGATGGAGAGTTTTACAACAATTGTTACGTTTATTTTTTTCTTCTAAAAATAATATTATAAGTATATACTTTGATTTCATTTTATACATTTTTATTTTAAATACCCTTAATTCACACATTTTTAATTATTTTTAAATATTTACTGAATTTTTGAATACACAATAACTTTCTAAATTTACAAATTTCACCCATTCATTTTCTTTTTTCAAATAATTTAACTAAACTAAAAAATAAATAAAAGTGCATTACATGATAAATTTACATAGCCCTACATAAAATTTTTAAAATATAGTATTTCTTTAATAACTTTATATTAAAATTTTATCGTTGATTCTGTCTTTGTATTTTATTTTTAATATATTTCATGGTCACATTTTTAATATACCTTGTACCTTTTTAATCAAAAAAGAGGGCAAAGGRGAGTTGGCCGAACTCTTATTTTTAATTTTTAGTTCCGATCCGTCTTGTTTCTTTTCTTTTCGATTGTTGTTCTTTTTCTGTTTACTGATTTTTTAATTATTCATTTGTTTAAGTAATAAAATAAATAAGTAAAATTTATTAACATTTTAAATATAAACATTTAACTTCAACTATGTATAATCAAAACATGTAAAAGCGGATCATATTATAAATAAATAAAAAATTAACACAAACTGAACGAAAAACCAAAACAGTCATGATGTTACAATGGGATTGGTGGTGCGCTTTATCCATAAAAAAAATGTAGCGTATGATAAGATAATTTTTGATCTAGTCATGAATGCCCCTATCCCATTTCACATATGACGCTTACATGGTCAAATGAATTAGCTCGACTTTAAACCTTATAACTAGTTCAATAATCCATGTCATGTATTTTATGAAAACTAATTTATCTGAGACAATGAACGCAATCTAAAAAAATTATGTTAGTATTGTGCATATATCTTTTCGAAATTTCGTCAAATTCCTTTCGTACATTTTTTTACTAACATTTTTTCTTCATCTTCTGATAAACATTCTTGTCTCTCTACATCTGTTTTTGTTTTGCCTCCTAAAA